CTGAAATATATTATTCAAAATGCAACTTTGCCAGAGCATAAAATGTTAAGAGGAAAAACAATAGAATGTGTCAGTCTCATAGGTGTAGCTGTTGGCCCAGAAAAATTCATTGCCGATGCTAATGAAGTAATGGAAATGTTATTAAAAACACATTCAGAAGATCTACCCGACGATGATCCTCAAACAAGTTATTTAATTTCTGCTTGGGTTCGCATTTGTAAAATTCTTGGAAAACAATTTGAACAATACTTACCATTAGTAATGGGTCCTGTACTACGTACTGCTGCAATGAAACCAGAAGTTGCATTGTTAGATAATGAAGACATGCAAGGTGTAGAAGGAGATCTTGATTGGCAATTTGTTTCTCTTGGAGAACAACAAAATTTCGGCATTAAAACAGCTGGTTTAGAAGACAAAGCATCCGCATGTGAAATGCTGGTTTGTTATGCTCGTCAATTGAAAGAAGGATTTGCGGATTATGCTGAAGAGGTAGTGCGGCTCATGGTTCCTATGTTAAAATTCTATTTTCATGATGGTGTACGTACCGCAGCTGCATCAAGTTTACCATGCCTTCTTGATTGTGCAAAAATCAAAGGAGTACAGTATTTGGAAGGAATGTGGTCTTATATTTGTCCTGAATTATTAAAAGCTATTGACACGGAACCGGAATCTGAAGTATTGTTAGAACTATTATACTCTCTAGCCAAATGTATAGAAACATTAGGAGCTGGTTGTTTGGGTACCGAACCTATGGCAGAACTTTTACGTATATTGAACAAATTACTCAATGAACATTTTGAAAGAGCAGTAGCTCGATTAGAAAAGAGAAAAGATGAAGATTACGACGAAGTAGTCGAAGAACAGCTTGAAGATGAAGATAATGAAGACATATACACTCTAAGTAAAATTGCAGATATTTTACATGCTCTTTTTATAACACATAAATCATCATTTTTCGTATGTTTCGATCAAATTTGTGGACATTTTGTAAAATTATTAAGTCCTGATAGGTCTTGGTCAGATCACCAGTGGGCTTTATGTGTATTTGATGATGTAATAGAATTCGGTGGTCCTGAATGCGCAAAGTACCAAGAATTCTTTTTACGGCCAATGATTCAATATGTATCAGATAAATCTGCTGAAGTCAGACAAGCGGCAGCATATGGTTGTGGAGTTTTAGGACAATTTGGAGGAGAAGCATTTGCTCAAGCATGTGCTGAAGCATTACCAAGGTTAATGGAAGTAATCAATGATCCAGAATCTAGATCACCAGAAAATGTTAATCCCACAGAGAATGCTATATCAGCAGTAACAAAAATTCTAAAATATAACAACAAAGCCATTAACGTAGACAAAATTCTTCCGCACTGGTGAATATCTTATTTTATACGATCAACAAATGTTATTATTAATAAAGATTTTTAATAGCATTAATGTCTTAATTATTACATTTTAGGCTGTCTTGGCTGCCAGTTGTAGAGGACGAAGATGAAGCTCCTCATGTTTATGGATATTTATGTGATTTGATTGAAGCTAATCACGTATTAGTTTTAGGACCCAACAATTCGAACCTCCCTAGATTAATAAGTTTTTTCGCTGAAGCCCTTCACAGAGCAGCTGTGCCTACAGAAGATCCCGTTATGGCCAGGATTCTTGGTATCGTTAGACAAATTCAGGTACGCAACAACATTGATATTAACAATACACGCATACACAAAAGAGATTTACTTATAGATAAATAGAATAATTTCGTAACATAATGTTATTTCAGAACAACGAATCTATGTTCCAAGCATGTATAAATGCTTTAACGACGGATCAACAACAGGCACTGAGCGAAGCACTCAATGCACAGACAACCAATTAGCCCTCTGCTTTTATCGTCAAATTTCAAAAACTTTAGTGTAAAGAAAAGAAATAATAAGAATATTAATTTTTAAAAAATCATCATACTCGCATTAAAATATCCTTATTACGGGGAAATTACAGAGATTTCAGGTAGCTAGATTGTACGTATGGGATTTTTTCTTCAGCCTAACAACTATCAACAAATGAACAGTTATATTTACTGTTTAACGTATTAATAATCTACTTATTGTTGATTGTATATTTCAGCATCATCCAATTCTTTAACGATATCAATTTTAGTATTCGGGATTGTTGCAAAATCAAATCGTTGAGTCGATAATTTTATTCACTGCTGACCAATGCAGTATAATACACATGTAATATACTAATGTAAAGGTCACGACTATGAATGCACTCGCCCTAACGAATTTGAAAGAAACAAAAATGAAAATTTCTTATAAATACTCTTCGATGATAATTGTATAACGATATTAATCAGATGTATTATATATACACAGAATCTTCTTTTATTAATCTTAAAATTCTTCGCTAAAAAAAAAAGAGAAATAGAATCTGAATGAGGCAAACAGAGCTACTAAAATTTTAGGAAAATTATCTGAACATCGAGAGTCGAGTTATGCTGAATCTGTATATGAAAAATGTAGCTTTATAAATCAAATAGTGTTTATAAACACTAACACAATTTTGTTATGTGAATGTAATTATAAGAAATATGATGTTTTTGTCACTGCGATCTCGCATATTTCTTTATTGCATCTATTGTTCTGAAGCTGCACGCCCGGTTCTTTCGGCAGAAAAGAAAACGATACATCTTATAAAAGTATATATTCAAATAGACTTACAAAAGCAATTAGACATTGCTTTGAGATAATGTTGTAATATTGTGATTTAGGTATTTTTATTATAAAATTTAGGTACAGTAAATGTTATTTAATGCTAACATTGATAATATTGCAGTGTTGAGGTTGGACGTAACTGTATACGAATGCCTTTCGAATGAAACGTAATGTTATTGTTCAATTAATTAGATTTGCTACAAAATTTAGCTCCATTAAGAAAATATTAAAAAGTTATATTTAAGTGGACTACATAAGACAATGTCTTTACATTTTGATAATTGAAAATTAAGAAACAACACTGCGTATGTTTTATAATCAATTAATGGTGTTTTAATTCTCTTATATTTTTTTTATCATTAATATTATTATTCCATTTTTCTCTCAGATGATTGTCTGATTTTTGTATTATTTAACAGAAACTACCATTGTTAAGACATTACGTTTTCTTCCAGTACAGATTAAAAAAAAAATAAGAACTTACAAGGATTGTGAAAAGAGACGTTATGCAAAAAATGACTGAGTGAAAAATAGTGTTAAATAATTCCCTGTTCTTGTTGCTATTTATTTATATACTATAAATCCTGTAATATGCAATATTACATTAAAATTTCCGATGGAAAATCTACCATGAAGAAATTTGTGAGTAGTTCTAACGTAAAAACGCTCATAATGATAACATTCTTTTTATTATAACGTGCGATAATTAGTAATGATAATGATCAAACGATTATGTGTAAATACAACAAAATATATGAATATCAAACAAGTATATACGGTCAAACTAATTGACTACGAATATCAATAATTTATGACAAATATTGTCTTAATTATGATTTCACGTAGATCAATAAATAATTTTAATGAAACGCATAGAAAATTGTAACATTTATCGAATAACGGTAAAGGCGACTGTTTATGCGTTACATAACAATAGCAAAATGAGGATTAAAAAAAAGTAAAAACATGAAACATCTATAATTCTTATTATATAGAGATTATTTTAAAGTTATTATTAAGTCAAAATAAACTTCAGCTTTATAATCGTTCGTTTCTTTTCCCTACCAACGATAACAATAAAGCTTACAAAAGCCAAATTAAAAAGAAATACGGACGATTATTATTTATGAGATTTTATTTCTGATTAAATATTGCATTTGAATTATTTAAAGTGTCATAAAAAGTGCAAGTTTTACTTATAGATAGCTTCATTTTTATCTTGCATTTCATTATTCGATTTCATAAATTCTACGCAAAAGAAATTAATAATTACTTAGTGAAATATAGCGGTAATTGCGTTTGCAATAATGAACATGAATATTCGAAAAATTATTTAAATCTATATCAATTTTGTTTGCATATTTATGCAAGTTTTTTTCGGGATACGATGTATCGTTCTGCAAATAAATACACGGCCAGTTCAACAATTATAAACATACAATTCTGATCTTATATACACATACACATAAATATATTCTGTGCAACACGAGTACACATGTCTATATATGTATATTTCGTGATTTGATGCTGGCGTCATATCAAACTGTGCAATAACTCACACATATACAGCAATTCTTATAAAGATCTCATTTCTAATAATTTAATTACTGTATAGGAATATTATTGAGATAACCAAAAGAGAGAGAAGGAACATAACATTTGCCATCCGTTTTCATTAAAAGTTTGCGTAAGATCGATCGTCCTGTTCTTTAACATTAGTATAAAATGAGGACACTTAACATGTATATAATATAATTAGCTTGAGTTTTAAATATTTCTTATAAAGTATAAATATATATATATATACTTATAACAGAAATAAGAGATTAAAAATATTTTTTTTCTTTAAAGTTTGGAAATGTAATCATCGGTAAGAAATGACAATGTAAATGAGATAAGCTTATTTTTAGATATAGAAAAAAAAAGTTGGTGCATACAGAGTTTTTCTTTCTCAATGTTAAAATTAACAACACGAATACATTTCGCCATTAGCATACATTATAAATAAAATTGCATTGTTCGATTATTTAATATATTCATGAATGAATTGGTAAGACTCATAAATATACTCTTTTGTTAAAGAAAATAAAAACGAAACGATATGAAACAGGAAAAGTTATTTTACAATATATAGGATTGATAATAATGAAGTAATAAAAAGTTGTTTCTACAATTACAAAAAAAAAAGGAAATAATAGAAAGGTTTACAAGAATAATTGAGAACCGGTATAATTACAGTAACAAGAATAAGAGTTTAAATGACGGAATAGGGAAAAGAAAAAATTTGATTAAAATCTCTAGAAGTATTCCTTATTGCATCATTGTAACAATGAAGTACTTTCTACGTAATGAGTAATATCGGACATTGACAGACAAAATATTCGTAATGAAATGATACGAAAGGTTAATAAAGTGATTGATTTTATCGGACGACGATCTCTTCCGTTCAAATTTATAGTCGCGCGCGCATATAAAATCCAACGTGCATGACGCGTCAGATCATCCGATCTTACGTCATCATTGTTCCCTCTCCGACAGTAAAAGAGCAAGTGAGAGAAAAGATAGAGAAAAACCAAGCGTGCGTCGTGTTACCGCTGCACGCGTCGACAGTCGAAAGAAGTGCGCGAATGAAGTTTGTTATACGCATTTGTCATTTATTCTACTAATTTTGTTAACGCCGAATTAGATCTAAAGATAGTTATCTCATTGATAACAAATTTGACATCGATCAAGCATTAAATTCCGGCTTAATCTGTCGAAAAGTTTAACCCATCACATACGCACGTTGAAAACCCATAAGAATCCCAAATAGTGATATTTTTGGAAGTAGTGATATTCGTCGTCAGAGTTCGTTGCTGAGTTCGCGGCAATTTTTGGAAGGTAATTCGAGAAATTATCCCTTTTTTTATTTACTTATAACATCGTGAAACGTATGAAACTTCAATATTGTTGGGAAAATCATGTTTTTAATGTTGTTTTAATGTTTGGTAAAATGGAATAATTTGTAATTTAATACACTTTATTAGTTACTTCAAACAAATATTTATTTTGTTGTGCACTTTGAACGATAAAAATAGCTAATATAATTTACTGCTGTTATGTTTTTAAAAATGATTAGATTGAATTAAAAATCGTACGATATCAGCATTTAATTCTAAATAAATAAATCGGGAATATTAAACTCACACACAATCTCGCATTTGTGAATCTCTTATATTTTATTAGTGAATCGGAAAAGTTATGTTTAGATAACCTATCGATTGCATTCGAAAAATACGTGAGATTAAAGACAAATGAAATTATTATATTACTATAGAACTACATTAAATTAATAACGCTGTAATAAAAATAAATAAATCCCTGATTACTTGCCAACTAGAACGTTACATCTCGATCCAGATTGAAAAAAACAACTTTTGACTAACAACATGCTCTAGTTGACTGACATACGTTTATTATACATAAATTTTAGTTAATAAAATAAGAAGTACACATTACAAGATAAAGTTTAGGATATGTTACATACATTAATATATTCGAAAAGAGTCTAAAATAATATTTATTTTTAACTAACTCATAGCAATAAATGATTATAAATTAATCTAATATTAATATTACGTATTTTATTATTAAAAATACTTACATACTTTTCTACACAATTTAATTAATTTTTTTTCTAAGGAATAAAACATTATCGCACAATAATTATTTAACTTTAATCGATTACTACCATTTGATTATTGTTTCGAGTAAAAATCAAACCTTACTACGTCTAAATACGGTTAAAAATGTAAAAGAGAGAGCAAGAACTAGTGATATTCCACGTAGTATTCTAACACAGTCCAATGCTTTCGTAAGAAAAAGGGTTAATCGCATTAAAAAGAATGCACTTTGGTTGTTTAATATATATATATATTAGGCATCATATATACATATGGGCGTGGTTAAACACACATGTTTCGTTTAATATTACTTTTGACAAAATTTATAAAACAATTCATGCATATTTTTCTTTCCTTGGAATTTAAGGAACGATAGTTTATCTCTAACCAATCAACGTTTAATGAAACGAAAACGTTTTAAATGATATCGATTATAAAAGCACATTTTATTTTTAAGTACACAAATAAACGCGCGTATAAATGTAGCCATAAAAATAACTGTTTTTATCGTATATGCTTTTTATAATGAGTTTAAAACAAAAAATTCGATTAAAAAGATATTAAGAATAAATAAAAAAAAGACATACAGAGACCGGTATATTAAGCTCTTTCAATTGTGTGATCACTTGTATCATCGGCTAATGATATCTGCATTCCTAAACAAGGATGTAATTTCATTCATTGCATTCTGTTTCACACGAAGTTTCTGTTCTGCATTGTGAAAAAAAATTACCTTATAGATGTCATAAGGCAACATAGATGGTACTATAGGATAATCTATTCTATAGATGGTATATACACACATATATATATATATATATATATTCTTTTGGTTTACAATGCTTTTCTTCTTTGTATGTTTTCTTTTTCTATTAAGAAAAACTGATATCAATGAATAAAGAAATATTTTCCGTAATTAGTATTTTATCTGAATGGAAAGAAAGAGGGAGGGGATTCTAACGAAGAGAAGTTATTTTGCTTTACGACCCCCTTTCTAGGTTCATAGTACCGTTATTCCGCCCCTGTATCTCAAGCGGCGAACATTTTATAGTATATGTGTGTGTACAACACAAGACGTTGTTACTGGCGTCTGCTAGGTCAGCTGTTGATATATCATGGAGTAAAAATAAAATTGAAACCCTTAATTTCGTTAAAAAAAAAAAGAAAAAGAAATTGTAATTTTCGACTAATCAAATAAAAAGTGTTTGTGGCACTCTTTTTAAAAATATTTTTCGGAAAAATAGTTTTGAACATTTCGTATTTTCCAAAAATTATCCATATCTACTCAAAATTGATCAAATACAATAAATTACAACTGGAATATTAGGGCGTTGAAAGGTTAGTAATACATATATAGAGAGAAAGAAAAAGAAAGAGAGAAAGAGAACAAAATTTTCGTTAGTTTCTATAAAACTGAATTGGTATCATTAATAAAATTCTATACGGTAATCGTAACATATCGATAATACATAACCATTAAATATACAAGCACCATAGCTATCTTATGATATACAGTTGCATTGTTCTTTTATTTCTAACGGTTTGATTTTTCTTCTCTTCCGTTTTCTTTCAATTTACACGTCATATCTATATCATTAAAACTGTACACGCATACCTTTAAAGATTATTACAAATAAAAGTTAGAAAAGAAATGTATTTTAATAACAAAGTTGAATGATACAACTTCATTAGTCATTTTAGGATTCATGCTAGTGAGTCATTAATATAGAATTTGTTTAGTATTACAAAATAAACAAATTTCTAATAGATAAAAGAATGAATCTAAAAATTAAGGATGCATAGTTCACAAGAGATAAAAACTAGATAAACTAAATGAGTATCATACTATATAGAAAGCCTATATATACGATACAAGACTATATTATATTGTTTTCATTGTGCATTTATGTGTGCCCATATTATGAAAGTGGTCTAAGTTAAAATTAAAAAAAAATTAGTTTATCAGTTATATTTCACACCACGTTATTTTAAACTACATTAATTCAATGTAATTTTCACGATATTGTCAAAAATGAACCGTTAGATAGTGTTTGTTATTTCAATATTATATAGAATTTATTTAGTATTCAAATGTAAATCCTTTAAATATTTCGAAACAAGAGATATATGACTTAGATCACTTTCATAATTATGGGCACATGTCTAAACGAAATTATTTATAATAATGTATACATACATATACATATATATTATTCTGTAGTTTATAAATCTGCATTTGATAGTTATATGGGTATAATTGAAGCTAGTCGCAGAAATATCCAAACGTTTGTTCAAATTTAATAATTATTTTTGTCCATAACAATTTAAAAAAAAAATTCCAAAATGGGTATAAAGATATTAACATACTACGTATATCAAGTATAATTAAAAAGAATTTTTTCTTTTCTACCAGTGATAAAAAATATGAAGTAAGTTTTCTTCAAGCTTTTTATCAAGTATATTCGTTTTTTTTTTTTTTTTAATAAAAGTTCTTGATAAAAAATATTTAGAATACTTATATTGTATTTTGACATCATTGTCACAATAAAAAAATATTTTCTTCAGTATCATTTTATACATATTTCACATATCATAATAATTTTTCTATGCCTAAAAAATTTGTTCTACTTTATACAAAAAGTTACTCTATTTGAAAAAGTGTTGAAAAATGTGTAACTCATTATATACTATATACATTTAAATTTATAATAAATTCAATATATTAGATATATTTTTCAGTGGTGTTACTATACATATTCATGGCTGCCCTTTTTGTGTACAAACTTATTTGTGCACAGAATATAATATATAAAGCGTCCTGCATGCGTGCACAGGTATGCCATTACGTAAACAACTCAATCGTAGATAGAAACATATGTATCTGTTTTATTTTCAATTAATTGTCAGTCAGTCAACTATATATTTTCACATGGCTTTGTATGTAATATGTATTAGTAATTATTTTTTTTATTTACTATTCTTAATAATTTACAAACTAATACGGCTTTATATCATTATGATTTTTCATTAATTCATGTACAATTTTAAAATATCAGATATAATCTATACATGAATGTGTGTTATTTAATTTTAGCATAAAGGACACTTTATGGGTTTAAAGTTGTTATTATAAAATCATGTCAAGGAAGCGTTGTAGAGAGGAAACTATGTTGAACTCTGAATCGTATACAAATAATCACAATGGAGAAAGCACATCCTCTAGAGAAGATTCTCCCATCAATCCTGTAAGTAATACATATTTTATATAACGTTTCATTAATTATATTACTGTTTAAGTCTTTTATCCATTTATAAACATTTATGCTTTGTATATAAGCTACACTTAAATTTTAGCTTATTTTTTATATATCGATATAAATATAATATATGTATAATGTAATAATAATATATAATACTGTACACATACAAGATTGATTTTCTTCAATTGAACACATTGAATTTCTTATATTTTTAAATATAAAATGATTTTTATGTATATATATTAATTTTAAGAATTAGTAATATATAATCAATTCATATGTACTTAAACATATTACATACATACATATATGTATTTCATACAACTGAGACTATTTATAATCGGAATCATATATATTATATCTTACACAATCCACAATGTACATATAACTCTTAATGCTAACTGATAATATTATTAACATAACGTCGTAGTATCAACATATTTGATTTCATATAAAAGCTGGAAATTCCTTACTTTAGTAACAGAGACTACCTACTATGAAATTTAAAAAGTCGATATCAAGTACTGTAATACTGAGTAAACTGAAGAAACGATAGAGTTCAAATATAGTTTTGTTAATCTTTAATTAGATATTTTTAAATATTATGAAACATTTTATTTTGTCTAATAAATGTATTAAATAAAGTAAATTATTTATTATACAAGTATAATTCAAAGATGGATTGTTAGATACAATGATTTGTGGAAATAAAAAATGTTGTGATAACAAATATAATAGTATGAAATTTTTAGTAAGCACGTGAATTAGTATTTTAATTACGAATTTTATCTTTTTTAATCTTCAGGAATTTTCAAGATTTAATTATTTTACATTGAAAATCTTTTTAACTACATAATTATTGACATAAATTTAGAAATTATAACAAAATTTATTTCAGTCAATTTGTAAAGAGGCTCCATTCAGTGATGATCCAGAAGCAATTACTGAAAGAGATGCATGTGATTACAATAGTCAAATCACATTAAGGATGGCACGTAGTGGGAAAGGTTTGTTCATAAGAATATTTATTAATCATTTATTATTTAAAAGAATAAAGCTTATAATGATAAGAGTTATGAAAAATAAATTCTTACATAAATATTTATGTAATATTACTTGCACGTTATAATGTTAAGTTATTAAACCAATTATGCTATTATCATAATTTTTTACTATACAATATTTTGTAACATGATATATTTTGTAGCACCTAGAAGGGTTAGAGTATATGCTGATGGTATATATGATCTTTTTCATCAAGGACATGCTCGACAATTACTACAAGCTAAAAATATATTCCCAAATGTTTATCTCATTGTTGGAGGTGTGTGAGATCTTAAATTTTGCTTATAAATTTTTTATAAATTTGTAGAAATTATTATTTGTTATTTTTACCTTTTTATTTGATAGTTTGCAATGATGAATTAACACATAGCAAAAAAGGAAGAACTGTGATGACAGATGCTGAAAGGTATGATGCAGTAAGACATTGTCGCTATGTGGATGAAGTTGTAAGGGATGCTCCATGGGAATTAGATGATGATTTCATCAAAAAACATAAAGTATGTTTAAACTAATCTATTATCCGAAAGAATTTGTATATATCATATAAAGTAAAAATCATGTCTATAATATATGATGTACATAATATCAATCTATATTAGATATTTCCATCCATATTAAAATTATAATTGATTGTTTTTATAGATCGATTTTGTAGCTCACGATGACATACCTTATATGACAGATGATGGTTCAGATGTTTATGCCACATTAAAAGCTAAAGGTATGTTTGTAGCTACGCAAAGAACAGAAGGGGTATCTACATCAGATATTGTAGCAAGAATTGTTAAGGATTATGATATTTATGTAAGAAGAAATTTAGCACGAGGTTACAGTGCCAAAGAACTCAATGTTTCTTTCCTCAACGTAAGTAATTTGCGAGGGGTATTATTATATTAAACAATTACTGAGTCTAATTAAAAAATTGTTTTTAAAAATTTATTATTTTAGGAAAAGAAATTTCGATTACAAAATAAATTTGATGATCTTAAAGATAAAGGTAAACGAGTTATGGAAAATATAGGTGAAAAACGTATGGACATGATTAGTAAATGGGAGGAAAAATCACGAGACTTCATTGATGCATTTCTTTTATTATTTGGAAGGGAAGGAAGATTGGTGGGTAGTATTTACTTCTCAGGAATTATCTTCATTATTACTATATATTTTATCCTAAAAAACAAATATAAAGCATGTTCACAAAAGGAATAAAAAATACTTGATATAACGGTACAAATGAATTCTTTTTTATTCCTAGATGAATAATGATTTTGAAAAGTTACACCTTTGAAGATCTCTTGTTTCAATTTCATTGCATACCATTGTGAATGTGAAAATAAAATAAAATATTTCAGACAAAATTTGGTATTTATTATATAGTACTCTTATATCATATTAATAAATAATATATACTAGTAAAACAATGAAAAAGAAAAACAGTGCTAGTTTTGACTGATAAATATGTGACTTTACGTTTGATTTTAACTTTTTCTGTTTTTTATAGTCAACAATTTGGAATGAAAGTAAAGGACGTTTAATGCAAGCACTTTCACCTCCAGCAAGTCCAAAAAGAGATGGCAGTCCAAATGGTAGTAATAGTAGCAACAACGATGAGGATCAAACAAGGTTTATTTGAAAATAATATTGCAATTTTAATTTATATATATATATATATATATATATATATATTACGGTCAATGTATTACTAACAATGTCCTATAATCGAGTAGGACATTGTATAGATTGTCTGGTCAATTTATAATATAAATTTCTGTTGGTTTTATTTTGTTTGCATTTTTAAGCTTTAATAAGTGAAAATAAACCAAGGAAATTAAAAAATTTATATATAATATCAATAACAAGTTTCGGAGAGAAAAGCTTACTGAAGCATATTTTAAAGATTGATCGAAATTTGTTACTGATATTGTGTACAAATTTTTAAATTTCCTTGGTTTATTTCACTTACTAGAGCACTACTAGAGCCCATCCCCAGTGCTCTAAGCACAGTCAACTGAAATACATATTATAGATTAACCAAAATCCTCTGGGCATTCTATAAATTGACCAGGTAATGTATTAAAACATGCTCAAAATATATATTGCTTAATCTTAGTGCACATTTTATAGAATGCCCCGGGCAGTCTATACAGTGCCTGGAATCTGTACATTAACAATAATATATATATAAGAATTTTATATAAAAATTACTTTTTATGAATTCAAAGTAATAAACAATATTTGCATTACAGTCCTCCACCAAAAAAGACTGGACGCTACGAATTATCACAAAGTACTCAATATTTAAGCGATGATTATAGTGATGATGAAGAAGAAAATTTACAATCTAAGTGATAAATTATTATGAAAATACATTGTATCTCCTTATTATGACCAAATTAGTGTGCTATTGTTTTTTAACATTAGACATATTTTCATACAGCTATATAAGCTGCTTATACAGAAAATAGCACTACGCTTTATAATTTTTGTATGGTAAAATTACTATACATAAAGCAATTTGTGATCATACGGAAATTTAGTGCAATTATTAATTATGCAAGTTGGAATATAGACGTTCAAATCTACAAAAAATACGTAGATTATTTAAGATATCTATTACATCAAATTTATCGTCTCTTTTTATTGCTGTGGTATTACCTATTTGTATTATGTTCCTAATACAGCAATGAATAATTTACTTACTCTAAACTTTTAAATATTTTTAAAGATAAATATTTATATTTTCATGTATCAAACAAGCAATTGTTTTCAGTATTTATTTTTAAAGAAATTATCTGTAGAAAGGACTGGTCTATGTATACATATATTCAATAATGATTTCTCTTATTTTATCATCAGTTTTGTATAAAACGTATTATAGAATAATTTTATATCTCATTGTACAGATATCTTAGATACACAGTAAATATTTCATCTATGAAGACATTACTTTTACATTGTTGCGAATAACGCATAACCCTAAATATGATCTATAAAATATATATATATATATACAAAATCTTACATTGTTATAAAAGATAATTGACCATAGAAACAATGATTATTATTAACAAATGAACCAGTATGCAAGAAATAGATAAGCAATACTTCCAGAGTTTTCTAGAGCCTATTCGTATTAATTATATATTGAATAATATACAATAATTTATTATAAACACACGTAATAATAAAATTAATCATAAATAGAAAATATAATAGTTTATGTGTGCAGACATATTAAAAAATTTATAAAATATACTCTAAATTGAAGTGAAAAAATTAGGAAGTAAAACAGTGATCATGGTAACATTTTGTATATAAGTAATGAACGCAATATATAACAAAGTTATTTTTATAGTGAGATTTTTAAGATTTCATTTATTACAAAAATAAACAATTTCATCTTTGAAAATAAACAAAACATGATTTCATATTAATTGAATACAATACATATTTTTATGAGAGAAAAAATGATGAGGTGCCTCTTTATAGATACATTTGTGTTCAATATTTTCGAAACTAATGCTTTTAGAAAAATTATACTTATATATAATATTTAATGAATGTGCTCGATCTTTTAAAAAAATATGTAATTGCATGCATCAAAGGTTTTCCATTTCTTGTAATATACCATCTGTGCCTCAGTCAAGCATCTGTAGCTGAAGTACGTATATTGAGTATTATAAATGTCTTCGAAAATATCAATATAAGATAGTTATTGTATAATGCGATATCAATTATATATAAGCCATTCACAGATTAAAGCGATTAATTCTATGTTCAGGATATTTTTATATTTTATTATCAAAGTACTTAATCAATACTTAACTTTCGTGTATTTCTAATATATTTCCTTAATAATTAAGCTTAATACTACTAAATGAGATCAATTTTTGAGGCTATTCAATGATAAATAATGTGACAATTTTTTCTGCTTCTTGTTTTGTGGAATTATTTGACATATGAGTGGGTAATATTAATATTGATATCGTCATATATTTACAAGGGTCTATAATGCAATAACTATTATTGTCATACGAACATCATTGTTTTCGATAATATTATTAACATCATTTATTAAATATGGGACACGTATTTTTATTTATAACGGATTTATTACTGAAAACACTCAAATATTTTTAATCGTGATTTAAAAAGTTATAAAACAGGTAACAACTTTATGCAGATGAGTAAATTATTCCCATATCTTAATATTACTTAGAAGCATGTAATCCTCTTTCATGGGATAATTTAATAAAAATTCGTTTAAATGATTAGCTAATAACTAATATTAAATAGAATAAATACAAATGAATAAATAACTTTATCTATATACTTATATTTCCAGCAAACGAATGCATGTTTTCTTATATATATATGTTACCGGCAAAGTACAAAATGCCTAGGGATTGTTGATAATATGATAATAGGGCTCTAAAAATATAATACAATAGATAAAGATATAATAAAGCTCACAAATCCCCTTTTTTATCTACCCAGTTTCATTTCTGTTACTACCGGAACCACCAGTGGGCAATAGTATGTACTTAACGCGATGACGGTACAATGAATACAGTATTTGTTGATAGTATATATAGTATAGTTATATTGTAAAAGAATTTTAAATAATTCTATTTAATTTTTAATGTATAAGTATAGTATTCATTCAATATTTACAATTGTGTAACTGTAATTTATATATAATAATTACATCTTTATAGTGCAGTTTTATTTAAACAATTGCATAAAAATTGCATAGACACTAGCATCGATTAATTAACAATTATTTTAATGCACTAATACACTTTTCTTATGTTACAGCGAAATTTTACCCACGAAGTCATCATTGTGCAGGAGCATTAAAATAATTACATAAAAATTAAAAGAATACCAAAAGGAGAACGTTATAATCGTAAATTTTATCGATTAGGTGGATTATTGATTTTATACACATGCGCAACGTTAGGAAAGTCATATAAACAACATTGAATAAAAGTAATTTTATAGAGGACAACATCTTATTTCAACGGTGAATTTCGAAGGAGAAGGTACATACATCATATATTCCTAGATTTTAAACAGCAATAGACATTTCTATCGATTAATTAACAATTATTTTAATATTCTAATGCACTCTTTTTATATTTCAGATTGTTTAAACACATACTATGTATAGTAGTGTTAGTAGGTTAGTGTTAGTAACTGTTTTACCGATTTTTAAAACTGTTTTACTCACAGAGTTTTAACAATGTTTTACCGTTTAAACTTTTATGGTGGAGCTTAAGAGTGGGGTTTATTAAGAAACGTTCTTGGGTTGATCATTTTCTTTGGTTTCAGTTTAATTCGGATGGGGACATTTTCAGGATGCACATCCCGGGTCTTCAGAAGCGGTTACCTCCTCGTGGTTAGACGTTAAAAAAAATAAAACGTAGACGTAAAATAAAATAAAAATTTCGAGCGTAAATCGTAGATTAAAGGGTAATCAATCGAAATAATTACTTGGCGCAAAATATAATTTTTTCTTTTTTCAACATTATCGAATTTATAAAAAATTGGTTTGAAATTATTTATTTACAATTTATAAAAAAGTAATATAAACGAATAAGATCACAACAAAATATTTTTATTTTAGATTAAATTAGTCTATTTATAAAGACTAGTAGGAATATCGTAAGTAATGTTGATGCACGGGAAATGGAACTGCTTTTAAACAAATTCAAATCTGAAACATTTAATTATTATTAATTTATGTAATATAAGTACTAATTAATACGCTAATTATTTTTCATACTTTTATCATTAGGATCTCTTACTCCACATTGCCGATGCCCTAATGTTGCTTTTCTTTTCAATGGTATATAACCTGGTATGTATAAACTTGGAGCTTCTAATTTTCCCGTCGATATTAATTTACTAAAATCCTGTTCTAATTTATTAGCTATTGGACCTAAAAATAAAAAAATAATATATTTATATAAGGTAATATGTGATATCTGTGAACAGAAAACAAATCGACACAAACCTTTAAAATGTAACAAAAATTGAATACAAGCTCCATTATGTAATATTTTAGTTTTCCTACTATCAATGGATAACATCCATTCAGGAATACCCATTACTTTTCTTACATCTTCTAAGAATTGTGCTCTACAAAAAAAAAATAAATAGTATAATTAATTTTTATGAATAATTATTGCTTTTGATTGGATTTTTTTTTATAAAGTATATTTACACAACGAAACGAGGTGGTTTCCTTATATTGGCATATTTTACTATGTCATTATCCGGTTCGATATTAGCACAAGCAAATCTACTACTCCCCAAATCTTTATCCATAATAACAATCGATTTTCCCATCGCAGAAACCGGTCCATCTAATGGAAAATTTGGATCTGTAAAAACTCGTCTTTCCGTTCCTATATTAATTGGTCCCAAACGAGATGAAATGTCTCCTACTTGACATCTTAAAGGTAAATCAGGACCGCACTCTTGTCTATATAGATCTTCCTATTTCGAATTATTGGTATTCTTTAATACACATAGATAATTTGCAATTTGTGAACGAGAAAAATAAAAATGATTTTACATTCAAAGGATCCGCTAATTGAGTGAAATATGGATTCCATGGATATCCACCTGCAACGCATCTAGTATCTTTTACTTTTACAGCAGCATCCACTCCAACAGGATTAACATATATAGCCCAATTGTGATTTCTTGTCTGTTAGACAAAATAATTCAAATATTATGCTGCAAAATATATATTTTAGAATGAAGGAGAGAAAAATTAATATTGTTATTACAATATTACGATCATGATTCCCTGGATGTCGTAGTTTGACTTCGACCACTGTCTCACTTTGACTACCATCTTTATATATCAGCTGTGACTATAATAACGAGCATATTGTAATTTATTCATTAAATGATAATTTTTATTTTCTAATAATATACCATTTTAACATATCCAAATGCAAATCCTTGTGGATGATGAAACGAAGCAATTGCTCGTAATTCTATCGCTTCGGATGGTGCATATCCCCTTTCTATCGTAGAACAGGCGTATCTACAATAATAAATAATGTTATTACATATACTTTTTTATTTCTAATACTTTACCTTATATTTTTGTCTTTTTTATGAATCACTATGCTGTGACCAAGAATGCTTCTAGGTCCGAATAATGGAAGCAACGTGTCGTTGTAACTCGTTGTATATTTTTTTCTGTTATCCAAAGTACCAAATTTTCCACTAAGATCTCCCATTTCATATTGATCCGATGTACCTTCTCTAGATCCTGGAACGTTACTTGAATTCACGCGCAACGGATTCCAATAATTATATAAAGATGTAGCTTCACAAGGGAATTCTAAATCTATTTCTACTGGAGCCTGCAATTGTAAAATATTTGAAATATTAATATTATTTCTTTTAAGATTTATATTAAAAATATATTATACCATGTGTATGTGATATCCACTCATTTTTCCACCAAGTCCTTCAAGATTGATTTCAATGTCCGTGACGTCATACTCGCTTTGTTGAATGAACTCTAATTTTCCTCGTATATCAATGGGTTCACCATTACCAAACCAATCTTTCGCAACTGCCTTTAATCGATATAATCCACCGATGCTGTAAAAAATATTTTATTTTTTATTATAATATTAATCAATGAAATTTTTGGTTGATTTACATTGAACAAGCGAGTCTTTCTCCTCTTGCAATTGGTCCATGATCATCGTAAATGACTAAACTTTTTCCTAAAATGTTATTTCGTCCAGAAAGTGGCAACATTGTATCTGTAAAAAGCTTTCGAGTTAGGAGAGGTCCATAAAGTTTTTTTCCAGCAATTTCAAGTTTGCCATGTCTCGTGAGATCACCCAATCGACATAACGAAATTTCAACCGTTGAACAATGTTCCGGGTGATTAGGATCCCAGTCGATCTAGTAAATATTTACACTCTGTTATTTGTAATATTTATTTAAAAAAAAATTATTTCTGATTATAATTATTACTTTGTGCGGATTATAAGGACCACCAGCACTTAAACATCTGCCAGTCCAATTATAATAATCTTTACCAGGAGGATTATCGTGTACCATCCATCTGAAAATGATCGATGCTGTACAATCATTATCATGACTTTTATTTTCAAATATATCTAACATTTATCACCTATGCTCGGCTGAATTATTTAGCGCACTACCATCGGCATGAACTAGGTTTTCGATAATAATAGTTGTATCAGCTTCAGGATCGTTCTTTGGCTGACGGAATATAATTTTTCCAACTAATGGATACCTAAACACCACTTGTGCTGTGAACATAGGCATTTGTCCTGCATTTTGTGGCAAGTGAAGAGCAAAAGTACCACAAACCCATGGTATTATACCTTTATTATCGGTTTCATTCAATCTTATAAAAAAAAAAAATTGATTTAATTTATTTTGTTTCGAAAATATATTATTCCAGTTCCAATATATTATCTCACTTGTGAATCACAAGAGATCGGTGAACGACACTATGAACTCCTGACAATGGCAAATACGCGTCCCAATAGATACCATGCAATTTTGCACTTCCAGGTAAAATATCAGTATGATAAGATCCTTCTTTGCGACCTTGAAGCTTTCCCGATAAATCACCAATGCTATATTGATCTTGAGTTCCCAAACCTGCCGGTGGTATAGTTTTTTCGTCGATCTTAGTTGGATTATACATATTTTTAGTTGTCAAACACGGTTCTCCGACATCTTCTAAAAACTTGGCTGGTTCAGGTGGTAATTCGTGTATCCTGTAATATGCTACTTTAGTCGCATAACGTAGTCTCGTTTCTAAATTAACTGGTGTCAAAGATATATTGATCCATGTTGGATTAAACGGAGTTTCTTGGCTTAATGTGATTTCACCTTTTATGCCACGAGAACTAAATAATGTTCTGAAACGTTCATATATTCTTTTTTTATTATAATGTATGCTAAAAATTGCAATACTAATAAATTTAAATATTAATTAATTAAATTTGAATATATCAATATCAAAACAGGAATGTAGCGATATTTCGTTTAATCATACTTAGCAAGAATCGGCTTGCGATGATTGATTTTGGCACATGCTAAGAACGAGTCATCGTGCGTCGGATGAAAGATGACCAAGTACAATAATCGATGTGGCCCAAGAAGATCAGCCGGTAAGAGTGATAATTCCGGATCCCTATAAGAAGTCTTGTATTTTGGATTTTGTTTTACGGCAACTTTTATTTTACCCAAACGTGCGTCAACGTCACCGATAGATCGGCCAGGACCAGCATTGTCTGGATCGAAAACGGTTTGAAGTGTATTACAATTTGATTTATCTGCAACACATAAAATAAAATTATTGACAAAAAATTGATATATATATATATAAATAAAAGTATATTTTATTTTTCGTACCTTTGCCAACGTTAAAAATATCAGTCACATAAATTTTCCAGTAATGTTCTGTGTAGTCTACCTGTAACTTCGGATTATTGACATGATGCAAATCCGCATAAATGATTGTATCGGTAGTATTGTCACCAGCTTGTCCACCAAGCCATCGGAACCAAATTGTTCCAGCTATTGGACCATAAAATTGAGCTTCGGCGAATTTCTCCGTATTTTTTTCAAAAACCTATGAATCCGACTATTATTTAAAAAATCGTTCAATGTAAAACGAAATTTGTATTTAGAAAAATATCATTAATTACCGTGATAGAAGCGCAAATTACTCTGGCCGAATATGAGTCTTTTAGTAATAGACCTTTACCCCATAATCCTTTTTCACCTGTTAGAGTTACATTTGGAACTTCAACAGAACCAGTTTCATTCCCAGGCATTTCCAATGGACCAACTAGATCCGTCAGATCAATTATGCTACGGGCAGTAGATAGAATATAACACTACTTGATAAAATATATTAAGATAATAATAGAAAAGGAGATTTCAAATACTTTTCCCCGAGATGACGTCGACTGCATCGATCATCTATGACAGTGTAGTCAACAGGAAATTGAGTGACAGACCAGAACCATTGTTGATCTGGATATTGAAGTGTCGTTTGTAAAGCGAATCGAATTCTTATAGAATTCTCCGTTTTCTGCTCAAATCGGACCTCTCCATGAAGGCCACCAGCAGATATATAAGCTGCTAGTTTGAGTGCATTTCCTGTTACCACTGTATACACAGATAAGAAATTTTTATAAACAAATATTGTCTTTCTTCACAGAGCAGCTAATTAAAATAATAAGGATTTTATTGAATCTACGACTCTAACGTGGAACAAAGTATATATGTTTTAAATTTGCTTCTTGTATGCACACACGTGTTCTTAGTATAAAAATATTATCATTTCAGAAGAATGATTCGTAGTAATCATATCACATATTATATTAAACATTAAACCTTTCACACTCACCGCAACTTAATAAAAAAAGCCACCACATTATCGACTGTAATTGAAGACTGTTCACAGCATTTTCTTCGTGTTAAATTGATCTCTTAAATCGTCAATTCACATGGTTTGCCATACGGCAGAAAACTGTAGGTTTAGAACGGTGGCCAGTCAAGGTAACGCCTCATACTTTCTTATTTCTTCGAACGGACATGGTGGGAGTCTTAAGAAGAGGAGAACGATGACCTTTGCATAGGAAAGTAGAACCTGGCGATATATCGAATATGAAACAATTTTTAAACCGAAGAAACCATAAACAATGTTTTTTTTTATGAATTATTAGAACTATCTGTCCTATGGTCTGAAAACAAAAATTTGACTATCAATTAATTGCATAAGTATTATTAAATATCTGTCAAACATTCAGACGTTAATAAATAACCTTGCTTGGATTTGAAAATTAATTGGCGTATCGGAAACTGATAGATAAAAATGATTAAAGGTCAAGAACAATTAAAACCCATTTTTAATGCGTTAAAACTATTTATCACTTTCAATTTTATACCAAAATTAACAAGATGTATAGCTTTTTATGTAAGAAATTGTATTAACAAAGTCGTGTGAGTAATGATTTATCTCATACGTATTTTTATTTTAATATTTTTTATTAGAAACATTATCTAATGTGAATAGTTTCTATTAGACTTTATCCAAAGAACGTAATAACAAAACGACTGAACAGAAGAAAAAGTCGACTTTTAGAAGGTTGTAATTATAAAAGTAAAAACATTAAATGTAAATGTGATTGTAACCGGTGCACGCAAGTATTAACTTTTTTGCAAACCGTATTAAAATTTCTATTAATATGTAATTATAAAATATGGTTCTTTTAGTAAATACAGAAAAATCCATAGCCGTATTTTAGAGGCAGACTATATGACAAGTCTTGTTTACAATAATCGGCCAACTAAACACGAAGTGTATGTGCTATTAAATAATTATATTTTATTATTATAGTATTACAAAAAAATATCTTTAATTACATTACAGATTAAGTAGTAGTATTGGCAACAATTTCATATGGCAAGCCAAAACCATTGTTATCTATAATTTTATAAATATTTTATTCATATTTTCATGTGTTAGTTGTACAGACAAGGATCAAACTCATACATGGACTTTGAATCAGACACCGCTACAGGATCACAGAGACGTGTATTTTATCATTTTCTTTTCATATTTATTTTTTACATGGGTCACCTGTTTGACAGCGAAATTTATTTTTCACGTAAATTGGACAGCGTTCAGTAGTAGTTACATGTGTTCCAAATTAAATGTTCCAATAAAACTTTTTAAATGATTATCTTTTAATAATAAATTTCATAAGAAATTCAATTATTTTTGTATGAAGTTTAATGATAAGCGTTCGAAGAGCGCTTTTCACTTATTGAAAAAATAACGATCAACGAAATACGGTGACAATATTTGAAGGAAAGCTCTTGATCATACGGACGGATGGACATGGTGGACAAAAATGCAGCAAAGTGCAGCGTGTATGCCGTTGCTGCAACATGATGCAGCAATCCCAAGCAAATCCGTATGTTCATCGGCAAATTCTTGTTCACATTTCGAATCTTGTAGTACGGAATTAAACGAAGAGTTGAATGAAATGCAAACGGATAATTCGATAATTACTGAAGTCATCAACAAGTATATACTCCACATTGTTTGAACATGTTTTTTTAAATTAAAAATATTATATCCAATTTTCATTGATGCTTATATCAGCATTGTTTTGTTAATAGATCCTTAGAGTATAAAAGAACAATCAAATGTTCACAGTCACCTCGTGAAATTTCTCAATCGGATTCCAAGATTGAATCTGGCCGAAATAAAAAGTAAGTATTTATATATGTAATTCAAATTTGAGGAATTTCATAAAATGAAGTATTTTTGTTATTGTTTATTTTCTAAAAAATCTAATTAACATAAATTACAAATTTGTTGTTTTCGCTTATATATGTTATCGTCAAAGCCGGAAATCAGTCATTGCTAGTAATTCCTCGGCATTGTTATCAATGCAAAGCGCCTTCCGACGAAGTCGAAAATAAGACTTTTTACAGAGTTTTTCCTAGGCATCGAACATAATACTGTGTACTTTAATTTAACATAAATTTTATTAAAATCTATTTGTATTTAATATAAAAAATATTTACCAAAACTTTTTAAAAAAATTGAAAAGATGCACAATTTACAGCAATGCATTCTCTGACATTTTCTGAACTTTACATGCTAAATTTATAACTCGATATGGTATTCTACGCGTAGACAAAAGAGTGTACTTTAATTTAAGATAAGTTTCATTAAAATCTATCCACTTTTAGTATAAAAAATATTTACCAAAATTTTTCAAAGAAATTGCAAAGATGCACAATTTACAGCATTGCAATCTCTTTCTCCTACGTGTAAAATACCTTATCGAGTTATAAATCGATTTGCAAAGGTTCAGGCTATATTTTCTAGTCATTAGTTAGACAGATATTCATAGAGATTTTCACGGAAATCTGTATCTTTTGTTCCTTATCGTATCGGAAGATACACAGGTTTAAAACGAAATGTTTTTTACCTGTATGGGTTGTTTTGGGGGGGGGGGGTTGCGTATGGCTGTGTGTGTCTGTGCCCGAGAATGTATTCTTTTCAACGTTGTTTAAATAGTAATTTGATATTCTATAGAATATCAAAGTATTATGTTCGATGCCTAGGAAAAACTGGAAGAATTTTTCAATTTCCGACTTCGTCTGAAGGCTCTTTGCATTCATAGTAATGCCGAGGAATTACTAGCAATGACTGATTTCCGGCTTTGACGGTAATATATATATATATATATTTTAGAAAGCCTTCAGATATTTTTAAAACTGCATCAACAAAGACTATGTGCGTACGACAATGCATGAACAGAACAAAAAATTGCGCTATGATGAAACGGAGTTTCATAAAGAAAAGGTCTTGCAAAATGAATTACAAAACCGTTTGTCTTGATCCATCTATATAATATTAAGTCTTTCCGGGTAGTGTTCTCTATAGGCATTGATGTCGTACTAGTCAGAATTATTTTTGGATTGGTTGTAAATCAATTACCGCAGAATAAAAATGTACACATTTTATTTCAATAAATTTATTTTAACAAATTATTTTCTATATACAGGAAGGAATCTATATACATCTAAAAAAACAACCTAAAAATATTTTCTATATTTTTAATGATATGAAGAAAGTTTATGAAATATTTTAATTGATTTGAAAAGAATAATAATATAGAAATAAAAATTTATTGTTAAGTCATTTTTTTATAAATTTTGTCCAGATCGTCGCTATCTTTTAATCAGCATGTATGCATTTTTTCTACTGCATTTTGGAGCAGGTAAAAAATACATTTAAGTATACCTAAGAATGTTAGGATGGTATATAAATTTACTGTTTATGTCATAAATGTTCACATGTGATACAAATGATACCCTGTATTGTCATTTGATATTTAAGGTAGTTTTAGCTATAATTTTCCTTGCAATTAGTATAATATATTTCAAAACGATATCCAATGTGTAATCCTGGTTTTTTCTCTTGCATGTTTCGTAATAGTACCTACATTAAAACATTTCTTTATTTAAAAGAGATTAAAATTTTTTGTTTAGAGTTCTACGTTTCTATTAATATATGTTGTTACCAGTAGCAGGGTAGAAGTATATAAACGAGCAAGTTTAACTTTTGAAAACATCTGTCGAAGCGAAAATAATTTTCACTATTTGTATTTTAGCATGATGGAAATATAAAATTATATAATCCTTATATATATACACCGATATCGCACAAAACTTATCATTATATTTTAATGAATGGGAAAGAAATAATAATAATATTTTATTAAAATAAAATGTTTTTGTAATCTTCTTCAAGTGATTGTATTCGTTATGTAGTAGATGATTAATATGAGCATTATGAATAATGAATGATGAATGATGAACAAAATCAGGCACTGAAATAGATTCCAGCGTTAGGATTGAATCCTTATAAGCGATTTTTTAAATTCAATATTTATTATAATTAGTATATAACATATATATATTATATATAGATTATACGATATCGTGAAAGTACAGAAACATGTCGTGGCTCTCAAATGTCGGGCAGTTATTTTTGGTATCCACGTGCTTCGGATATCGGAGCAGAGACCGAAAATGAAAGCCAAAAATAATGAGTCATCGTCAAAAACTACAATTCTTTAAATGACTGGAATGAAAATGTTATTATATGCCAATGTTCAGGAAGAATCACAGATATGATCATTCACTTCAATGAATTAGAAGAATCTTATATTTTTTGTTAAATAAACCTAAAACCATAATTCATAATGCAATACAGACCAGATAGTTTTGTCTTCATCTCGGCGTCTTCAATTTGTAAATAAAAACTAAAAATGACTTCGGTCATAAATTTCCGGATTTTTACGATCAAATGAAAGTACAGAGAAGACCTATTACGTATGCACCAGAATAAGATGCGAGAGCTAAAATAAACGTATAGGTTGAGCGACAATATGGAGCCGCCAAGTATTACTAACGACGGATATGCGAAAGACAAAAAAAAGAAGAAGCTAAGTTTATTTCCGATTTCCGTACGTACGAACATAGTCGATTGTTTCATTTATGAAGGGAAGTTGATCTTCATCATTATCTCCGTTCGTTTCCAGGGGCACCCTTGACTTATATTTTCGTGCTGAAAAATGAATCCCCGTAGCTTGAGAGAAGAGAGTAAAGAGGTAGACAGCGGCACCGATCGCGCCGCCGCTACTACGATCCTCGGCAAACTGTTTTAGTCGAAACGTCGAAAGGTTCGCTATTTTGAGGCTGCTCGCACTAAATATGGTCAGATAGGCGTTAGCGTTGTACCCGGGCTGGGCACCCCTGCACGGGCAACATACGATGGTGGGGGAAATCTACCAAAGTTACTTAGACAAGTTCACCTCTATGATTCGGACAGTTGGTTCGTTGTAACCATCTCGTACTATTCTCTTAGAAACCAACTGTAGATATGGTAAGTAGGTACCAGTGTTGTTAACGTGGTACCATTATCAGCTCGTAAAACTTAACCGCGAACAGACAAAGAAAACGACGATCTTTCATGAAATTTCTCGCGAAGCATAATATTCAAACTTATATACTTGTATTTCTATCTTACGGGAAGATCAAGAAAGAATGCAACATGTTGTCTGGACGTGATAGCTTGATTAGTGGTCGAAGGTTCTATGCCAAGACATATCGTACTACAACATTGGATCTCATGAGGATGATCGATCGATGGATTACGCGGAGTGTGTCGTAAATGATATGCCAAGTGACGTATCGATAAATGGGGTGCAGCTTGCAGTCTCCATGTCCGCGGATTGTGTTAATGGAGTGCAAGAGTGGTCTCCGTTAGGCTCTTGGCCGTTCGCCATTTGATACTTTAGTGCCACTTTCGTTTCTCTTATAAATTATTAGCTTCAGAATATAATGTATCTGCTATTTATCTTCACCTGAAAAATCATAAAAGATTTATATTTTTCTTGATAACTCAAAGTTTTTAAGATATATCATGTATCATACTCTTAGCGTTGTCTGCATGTTTTGTAAGGAAATTTGTGACAGCAAAAACGATGATATTAAGCTGATTTCCTCGTTGCGTTAATGACAAACCTAAAACAAATTTTTAATAGTAACATTTTTCACATCTTTCTATAAAATACTAGAGAAAAACTATCCAAAAAAGTACTCGTTTCTATCAAAAATTAAATCGAATATTTTCTCAATTGCGTAGGATTGTTTATAAAAATATAAGACTTACGTAATTCTCGTAACTCGAGAGGCGTCACACCGTTGACGGCAATCATTCTATATACGTCTTGGCTAAAAATCGACAGTACTACTGATAGGGTGATTCTATTCTTAGTATCAGCAAAAGATGTCTTCCGGATTTTTCTTCGATCAACTTTTCCGCACAATTTCTCTCGAAAAATTTGGATTTATCAATTCACAAAAAACTTTTTTCACGTTTCAGTGATAAGCTACAGTATCGATAATATATTTTAAAAAGCAAAAGAACGCTCAATTTAATTTGAAATCTATGGTCAAAGTATTCCATTCTCGTTGAACACGTGTAACGGATTCCAATTAAACACGGTACAAATTTTTAAGAATATACAAAATTATGTGAAACCTATTGCGTCGGTACTATCCCAAGATTTTGGAATTTACCTAATTTTTCGATTTATCTAATCAATTACTGATCTTAATAAGTAACTGGTCTTACATACACAACATTAAAATATTTTGTTAAACAATTTATAATATTGTGATGGAGAGAGAGAGAGAGAGATGTCTAATTCGACGAGACAATGATTCATTTTAGGCGGATAAGGAAAAGAAGAAGAAGACCAAAAAGAAGGAGGAGGCAGCTCCAGCGCCTCCTCCTCCAGAACCTGCGCCAGCACCAGAAGAAAAACCGCCAACCCCAACTGGAACACCTAAGGAATCTGGATCTGCAAGAGCGAGTAGTCGTGGTAGCCGAAGAGCTAAGCGTAGCGGCTCTAGTGTCTTTTCTATGTTTACTCAGAAACAAGTTGCTGAGTTCAAAGAGGTACATTTGCTCGAACAAAAATGTTAAGAAAAATACAATGAAAATGAGCAAAGCTTTCTTTTTCGTACAATTAATAAAAAGTTATGGATTTTCAATTTAAACGAAACAAAGTCCAATATGACCTTAAAACCGTACGAGAAAGAAAAGCTACGGCGAGCTTAAAACTCAGAACCATGAAGTCATTGTCAGCAAACGCGCTTAATTTATTTTGACTGGATTTACAGGCATTCGGGCTTATGGATCAGGACAAGGATGGTATTATCGGTAAAAATGATCTACGTGCGGCCTTCGACTCGGTCGGTCGTCTTGCCACTGACAAAGAACTCGATGAGATGCTCAATGAGGCACCAGCACCTATCAACTTTACCCAATTGTTGAATCTATTCGCTGTTCGTATGTCAGGATCAGGTAATTGAACAAAACTTCATGTTTTATAGATTAAAATATTTGACTAAATTTTCACAAATAGACTGATCAAAAAAATGTTTTTTTTTCTGTTAGGCGCTGATGACGATGATGTTGTAAATAATGCCTTTAAGACCTTCGATGAGAATGGCAAAATCGATGGGGAAAGGTAAGTAATAGAATCTATAATAGCAATTTTTTTTTTATAAAATTTGATCGAAAAAGCAATGAAAATTTTCAATTGAAAAAATTATTTTTGTAGACTGAGGCACGCCTTAATGACCTGGGGCGACAAATTCAGTGCAAAGGAAGTTGATGAAGCCTATGATCATATGTACATCGATGATAAAGGTTTCATTGATACGCCAAGTCTCATTGCCATGTTAACTGGCACAGGCGAAGAAGAAGAAGATTAAACTTATATTACTAACACCCGAAAAAAAAAACTCATTAAATTTTTATTCATTGCAAACGAAGTTTCGTGTTACGTCAGGTTCGCCGAGACCATTTCTAAAACATAATGACAAAAAGTATAGCACAAATCAAACGCCTAGCATTCCCTTATCCTGTTCTCGATGGTAAAGATTTAGCTTTTTTAAAGGGACATGTACAAAAAAAACGATCTCAATCCGTTGAGAACAAACATTATCTGCCAGGATTATTTTCGTGGCGTGTGCACTTACTGCGTAATCTGAGGATAAACGAGACTTCGAGTCATACCATATATAATATCGTTCATTTAATAAAAGTATTCTCAAATACCATAACGAGACGACTCTCTCTTATTGTGCAGTAGTCATCATCAAATTGCAAACGATCTTGTGTGTGAAAGAGAAGCTGGTTATTTATCACGCCAGTGTTATTCTTGATTGATTTCTGAATTTTCAAGCAAATATAAAAAGTACATTTTTGTTGTATATTAAAATATTTCAAATACATTGTAAATGTAAAATGATCTTTCATTTGACTAATTACCTCCTATTACAAAATATACTCCTTCCTGAATTATTCCAAAATTAAAATTATATTTGAAGAGAAAAAAGATTGAAGATACAATCATACGAAAGAGTCTAACTAAAAATATCTGATCCAAATCACGAACGTTTTCGTTATCCGATGAGACCCGTGCATGTGTTTTTTTATATCATAGTAGGAAAGACTCCTTCTCGATTTAAAATTGGCTAAGTACCAAATTATATGTTGATGATACTTGGCTAAATTTAACTACGCCCAAATAATTAATGCATACACCGCCTGCCACAAACATTACCGGTCAACTATTTTATCAAACTAACATGAAATTTTCTGGAATATCAGAGAAATTAATAAAATCCAACTACATATGATGTATGATAAATATAGCAACTTATGATCATTATATCTATGTGATATGCATTACTATACAAAGATATATATCTATACGTTACGGAATTTTTGTTTTTATAGAATTTACCTTATACAAAATGTTAATAAATTAAATTGAAAATATTGATAAAATTAGATGTCATTCGTTTCTACTTATCGTTACAAAGTAAGTGTTGATAATAATCAAATGTATTAAATTAAATAAAATATGACATCGAAAGGAAGTGATAGTCGTGTCTATAATCAAATGAGAATAAAAGTTAATAAAACATTAATAATTAATTATTTATTATTGTATATTTATATTTATATGAAAGGTAAATATATTGAAAGATGAAATAACTGTTAAAAGAAATTCATTTCGTTTAAATTTCAAAAATAAATATAATAAGCTTTAAAATGACGGACGAAAACGGTACAGTTACCAAATGGCGCTAAATCAATTTAAATTCAAACGCAATGTTAAAAGAAATAGGACAATAATATAATCTTTGTACAAACAATAATTATTACAGCTCCATTTTTGAGAGTTTCTTTTAAATAATGCATTTATAATGTAATGGAATTAAATTAATGTGTTAATTAATAATACCTACATGTAAAACAATACATTTTTACTATTATCTTGTAAAATACGAAAATAAATTAAAACGTACAACTTACTAAGACGATAATCTGATGATCGAAGTATTCCTCGTAGTGGGTGCAAATGCGAATGGAGCGGTTGTACCGTTGAAATCAAAATGACACATAGACGTTGCCATAAAGACAGGTGGAAAACCGGAAATCCCAATAAAGCACTTGTGCCAAGTGACGCACTTTACGTTTGGCTTGTGAGGTTTCTTAATTTTTGCGTTAATTAAAATTAATTACAAAAAATATAATCAATAATAGTTGTTGTTTCTTCTAATCTCTTTATAAACAATGTGGTTTCAAGTTTTTATCGATAATAATTGATAATAAGTGAAGATTATCATATCTCAACATATTAAACGATATTCTCGAGAAAATATATTTTGTGACATCCAAACTGATCTTTACTGGAGATGGTACCAGCACCAATGGAGGGGGCCTATCTTAAATCTATAAAAGAGCGTGTCCTGCTAATTTCTGGACAGTATGAAAATGCATGATAATATAGATTAATTAATAGTAGTTATTATAGATCTTATCAACTATATATTAAAGTTTTTGTGTTATCGTAATAATTAAAATTTAATTATTTCTGCATAGTTCAGTTTAGGATAGAGAAATTAAAAATGCTTGAACCTGAAAAGAAAGAAAAATTATTAGAGAATCAAGAAAAAAAAGTAATATAAATATTGTTTCTTAATTATTTATATAATATAATTAACTCCGTGAAATTATTGTGCGTTCATAAGATAAGAAACGTTCAATTGTTATTCTTAGAAAAAGAAGAAATCATCCAAGGTATCTCAGGAACAAATGAAAGAAAGTGTTAAAGAAGTTACAGAAGAAAAAGAAAAGGAAAATGAAAAAAAAGCAGAAAACGAAAAGGAAGCAGAAAAAGAAAACGAGAGAGAAAGTAAAAGAAAAAAATGTGAGGAAAAGATTACGGATACAGAAAATTTACAAGATAATGTTTCTACGGATAATTTGATGACTTTTAATGCTGTTTCACTACCCAAAGAAATAAAGATTAGAGAAGAAGTTGGAAAAAATGACCTGATCAAATTGTCAGAATTAAAAGAAGTAACTTAACTAACTTGTTATAATGTTAAACCACTTTTCTCTTGAACTAGCTTCACTTTTAAAACATTTACATACATATTCTGGATATTTTTAGGCCTTTCAATTGTTTGATTTTAATAGCGATGGTATTATCGATTCTGAAGATTTAAAATTTACCTTTTTAACCATGGGCAAACCCGATGTATCTGAAGAACAAATACAACAAATGTTATCAGAAATATCGACTCCAATTGACTTCGATGCGTTTATCACACTTTTTGGGTAAATTAAAAAATATCACGTAATGTACAAAATAATTTGAGAAAAACAATTGATTTTATACATGTATATATATAAAATTTATTAATAGAAAAAAAGTTAGTGAAATGGACCCAGAAGAAGTTTTTACTGCTGCACTATCAACTTGGGATATGAGAGACACTGGAATGATACCAGAAAAAAAGTAATAAGCTTTAAAAATAAAGCATTAATACAGGTGTGAAAATAATTTACGTTGTTTCTTTTTTTTAGAATAAGAGACGATCTTCAAAAATTTGGCGATAAATTTACAATTAAAGAAGTTGATCGTGCTTTGGAAGAGGCACCAATTTATTTGCAAGATGATGATGAAATGATAGATTACATTAAATTTAGTAACAATATTTGTGGTTTTCAAAAACTAGCTAGAGCCAGACAATATCAGAAAAAATTAGAAAATGCTTAGAAAATATTCATTAATATTTTGTAAAATCAAATGATAAATAGAAAAATATATTCTACATCCCGCAAGCTCTAAAATTATGATTATCACAAAAAAAAAATAAAATTGATCGCATTAAAGTAATGATCATTTCAATATAATACGTATTTTTAAAATCTAAAGATTTGATAATAATTTATGAAATAAAAATCTTGTCTTTTACTGTAATAATCAATTATATCTTTTACGTACTACTACATATTATTGACCATCCTTCTTCGGCCTTTCACCAAATATAGCAGTGCCCACTCTGACATTTGAACTCCCAAGTAATATCTATAAAAAATGTAATTAATTTAACCGATCAATATTTCATGTAAAGATAAAATAATTCACAAATTTACCGCGTGTTCATAATCGGTAGACATTCCCATTGAAAGTTCCACCTTTTTTTTATCAAGATTTAAATCTTTGCATAGATCTTCTTTACATTTCTTCAAACGTAGAAAATCTGGATTTGGACCGTTTGATGGATCATATCCATACGCACCTATCGTCATAAGACCAATAAATTCCAATTGCTTACAGGTGTCTAGAATATATTGCACAAGTTCTGATAGTTCTTCTACTTTGCAACCATTTTTTGCTAAAAATATTAAGCTTCATAAATAAAGTTATATACATTTCAATAGAAAACGAATGTTACTTAATATTTTTATTATTACAATATGACAAACATAAATAAATTTGTATATCATTATTATTGAAAACATTAGTTAATAATTTTTTAAATATAATCGAAGTTAAATATTTTCAATAAAAAATTAAATTGAATATAAATATTAATCAGCTATTAATTTGGATTTTTAACAAATACTAAAATATAAAAAATAACATGTAATGATGTATAAGAAAGGAAATATACAAAAAAGAAAGACCAATAGTATAATTAAGCAATAATATTTTATTATAAATGAAGCATATTATGGTAGAATTAGAATTAATGAAATAAGATGAAATATATTTTATGAAAAAGATAAAATGAGTTACTTTTAGAGATTTACTTAAAATTCAAATAATTGAGTATAATATAAAAAATTGTATTATACCTTCTTCTTCACTTGTATTCACTTGTACCATAATATTCAATTTTGAATTATCATCACATACTTTTGAGTATGCGTTATCAAGTGCATTTGCAATCGATTTGCTATCAACTGTTTCAATAATATATAAATTTGGTATGGATATAATTTTATTCACTTTATTTTTTTGTAAATGTCCAATAAAATGCCATCGAATATCTTTGCATTTTTCAGTGATAGATAAATCATATGCTTTATCTTTTAATTCATTAACATAATTCTCTCCAAAATGTCTTTGACCAGCCTCATAAGCCGCAATAATCAGCTCTGGAGGTTTAATTTTGCTTACAGCTACTAAACGAGGTTCAAAATAGGCATATTCCTGGGAAAACAAATTAAGATATTGTACTTTTTTATAAAGATATATTCGTAAATAAATAATAAATTCCCATACATGAAATGCGAAGTCGATGTGATACTACCGTTAACAATAATTGAATAAAACCTTCACTGATACGATATTGTAACTATTTTCATAAAAAAAAAAGGATTAGAAAAAAGGATTAGACCTAAAAAACACTTTCCCGGTGGTATCTAATTTATTGAATGTACATTAAAACATTTATTGTGTCAAATTAATATGCGAATTAAATGTTTATTTAAAATGGTACATCAGTGACTTTTCACTCAATGTTAATTCTGCACAATTCCAAGGTTCGTAAAATATATTCCTAGTATATATTTGTAGCACGATCCTCTTTTCAGTACTATAGATGGCAATTTAAATTCGACATTTCCTTGATGGCTGTGAACGGCAGTACGTCCTGGCAGTAACTGCACTGCCTACATCATTCTTTCAAGATTTACCTCCAAAACCTCCCATTAAATTACCCAATCCACCTGCCGCTCCCTGTTGTAATTGCTTCATGATATTCTGAAGGCCCGGCATACCACCCATTTGTTGTAAGACACGTGGGTCCATCATTTTTGCCATTTGATGATTCAATTTCGCCATTTGGGTTGGATTAACATTTTTAGCCATATCGCCTGCTTTAAATAAGCCTTTGATACCACCCATTTTTTTCACAACAGCTGCAAACTTTGTATACTGTGTTATTAAGTCTTTAACTTCTTTTTCTGTTATGCCAGCACCTTGTGCTACTCTCACGATTCTTCCTGGTTGTTTACTAAATAATTTGGCACCATCTCTGCTGTCTAATTCCGCATCATTCATACTATCCATAATAGTCATAAGTCTCTTTAACCTGGCCATTGATTCTTGCTCAGTTCCTTTTGACATAAAATCTTGACTAAATCCAGGAATCATTCCCATTAATTGCGAGAATGGACCCATTTTCATGATATTTTGAAACTGTTCATACATGTCTCTTAAAGTAAATTGACCATGTTTAATTTTTTCAAGTAATTCTTCATTATCATCTAGATTCAATTCATTTACTTTATCGATAAGTCCTTCTATATCTCCCATACCCAATAGCTTGCTAATAAATGGTTTTGTTTTAAATGGTTCCAAATCATCTATATGTTCTCCCGTTCCAACAAATGTCACAGGACTTTGCGTTGCTGCAACAGCAGACAAAGCACCTCCACCCTTTGCATGACCATCCAATTTTGTTATAATGATAGATCCAACATTAACACGTTCTTTAAAAGCTTTAGCTTGAGCTTCGCATGCTTGACCTATTGTCGCATCCATTACAAATATTATATTATCTGGTTGAACAGCATTGGCAACCTGTAACATTTCTTCAAATAATGATTCTTCTTGTTTATGTCTTCCACTGGTATCAACAATAATAATTTCATAGCCTTCTTTCTTAAACATTTCTACACCTTCTTGCGCAATAGCCACTGGATCCACTTCTGTATAACTTCCATAAAATGGTATTCTTGCTTTAGTAGCATTTTGTTTTATTTGATCATACGCACCTGCACGGAATGTATCCGCGCAAACTAAACATGCTTTCCAATTTTTTTTTAAATAATGATAAGCCAGTTTGGTACAAGTAGTTGTTTTACCTGCTCCTTGTAAGCCAACAAACATGATCACATTAGGACGGCCTTTCACAGGTTGATATGCTTTTACACCAGGATCTATTAATTTCACCAATTCTTTGAAAACAGCACTTTGTATCATACGTCGCTTATTAAGACCTCCAGCCATATCATCAAAATCAATAACGGTGCGAACATTTTCTCTTAATTTCTTGACTAACCTAATATTTACATCAGATTCGAGCAATGCAGCACATATTTCCTTCAGCATAGAATTTAATACTTCTTCATTTATTACGGTCGCATTGCTGAGCGACCGTAAGGCCGACGTAATTTTACGTCCTAGGTCTGCTAAGACCATTTTCGTTTATTTATTTTTCACTCTTCGATACAAATATTCTTGTTTAGTGGTTAGAAAATTGATGTTGAAAAAATATGTCAAGATTATTCCAACTTGGCCAACACGACATGACGACACATCCGGTTAGTCATTGATTATGCAATAAGCAAGACTGTCACGATACTTCAGTTTTAGTAATAAAACGTTTTAAATGCCGATTTATATTGAATGAATATTTAAGTATGTATGAACCCTTACGTAAACCTTCGTGTTTTATTTTGTTCGTATTTCGCTCTAATGATTATCATTCAAGATCGCCATGATAGATCTGTGACCACAACAAAAAATACAAACATAATGTTCGTAACCTCCAATGGAAAAAAACCCTGCTTATGCACCGCATCAAATAATGGAAAGTATCTTATCGATTTAATAAAATATAAACAAATTTTTTTATAGGATTGTAAAAAATATGTTTCTTCCTACATGCATATAATGAATACTCAAGGATAATGAGTTTTCGATGTTAAATAAAGTACTAACAACGGAGCTTGATCAAGGAGGAAAATCGAAGTGTTATAAATTAATTGTCTACGTATATATATTATGAGAGGGTGATTTCTATTGGTACTAGAGAGCACTAGAAACACTAGTACACTAGTTGCACTATTTGTTTCATTTGTTTATTTATAAAATCACATGTACTTAAATCTGAACCTCTGAACACCACCGCCACCCTCGTGGAGAATTATCGTACTCGGTATTTTTTTATTTTCAACAACACAAATTCAATGAAAACGCGTATTTTGATCGTCCTCCTTGTATATGGGCTTCGTGGTACTAACAATTGGAAACTAGCATCGTATTTTTACGAGAAAACATATAGCAGTGGTTATGTAGATACGTATTTTTTTCCACTGTTTTACGCTTTTTCGCCTCTTATTTGTTCAATAACAATATGGCGACATACCGGATCCCGTTTAGCAGATGCAGCGATGATTTTATTGCGAACTAATTTCAGACCTTCAACCACGTCTTCCATCTTGTATTTTTTGATAACACGATTAAGAATTCGCTAAAAGTAACAAAATATTTTAAAAATTATACAATTTAATCGATTTACGTTCATGTAAATCATTTAATTTATTCATTATTTTAGTAAATAATTATTCAATAGCTTTCAATATATTATCTTTAGAGAGGATACTTGGATGTACTTGGATATTAGTATCCAACTGCATATGAAAAATAATGTTTCATAACTTAAATAATTACAACTCGATATTACCATATTGTGAAAAGACGAGGACTTTTAAAAAGAAAAAGAATAATTTATAAAATAGTATCAACTTCAAGTACGTTACAAATATCTTCTATTACTTACATTCGAATTTATTGTTTTTATGAATAAAGAAGACAAGTAAACGCATCAGAGAGAATCTAAAGCAAATGTGAGCGAACCTATCGGTAACGAGAATAAACTAAAATCTTTTTTCTTACACAAATTTGGTTCCCCTGATATAGGTAAATGTCAATGAAATTTTCATAAAGAAACATATGATTGTAGAACTTCACTTAATAATCAACTTGAGTTAAATTATTACTGTTTGTTAACACTGCGCTCGGTTGTACACAGTTCTCCGTTATATAAACTTTGATATGTCAACAAAAGGAATTAAATATATCACTAATTCTACAAGCAGTTATGACATGTCGACGCTATGACAGTATAAAAATTAATCTTGACTGATGATAACGATGTTTCAAAGTTTTTTAAATGTCATCCATCTGACGTATGCATTCAAGTACCCAATTAAATGAAATGCCTAGTGACTTGATGAACGATAAAATGTTAAAAAAACATATTTAAACTTTTAAACAAATACAACAACATATTATCGAAGGAAAAAAGTAAAGCTATTGTAAAAATTGTGCATATTTCTTGACGTGAAGCATAATATAAGCTTGCTTCGGTATTAACAATTTATTTTCAAGCTGTCCTGTAAATTTTGACGTTATTTAAAGCATAACGATTAATAATATCATGAATATAATGGATATTAAAGAAAATTCTGAAAATGACCATGTTGAATCGTATCATGCTTTGTTGATTGCATTCAAAACAATGAAAGAACGTTGCCAACAATTGCAAACCAGATTAGCTGTTGTAGAAGAAGAAAATTTGTGTCTGAGATTAGAATGTGGGAAGGACATGTCTACTGCAATTATAAAAGTCAATGGTAATGACAAAGCTGTAATTCAAACTTTACAGGTTTGTATTGTTTTTCCTAGTAGAAATTTATGTTTAAATCAAATTCTCTGTTTTTATATATTACTTTATTTAATAGGAAAAAGTAGAAGATCTTAAAAAACAAAAATCACAGCTTACACATCATGTTTTTATGGTTGCTGCAGAAAATCGTCACTTATGGAATAGACTAATTAGGTTAACTAAAGCAAATAAGTCTTTGGGATTACATTTCACTAAGATTTCTGATACATTAAAACAGCATTCTACTCAATCATTTGATATTATGTCATATAGTTTTTGTAATGTTCCATCTCCTGTTAAACAAGAAACAAATAAGAATTGTACGTTGAGTTCAGATAATGGTAAATATATTAACGTATAATTGAAATTAATTTACAATAGAATATTTCTTAAATGAAAATTCATAGCAATAAAAAATATATACAGGTGACAAGGAACAGAGTTTGGAAGAAATATCACTTAAACTTATCAACAGTATTATGTTGGAAAAAACAAATCTTGAACAGCAATACGCAGAGGTAAATATCAAGTAATTTTCTTGAGGTATTTACTTTTTTTTCATTAATATTCAAAATTTCATTATTAAGAATATTTATTATAAAAAAATAATCTAACAATTTGATGTTTTAGATGGTAGAATTACAAAATAATCCTGATTTAAATTTACAAAATATTGGTTTTACTTATCCGGAAGATTCTGATACTGACTCATTAGAACAATTAAAGCAACATGATGTAAGATTGTCACAAACAAAAGATGCTTTATTAGCACAACAGAATAGACTGAAAAGAACTATACAGAATTTGAAAAAGATTAAAAGAGGTACGTAAATTTACATATATTATATAAATAAATTTTGTTTTGTTATTATTCAAAGCATCATTTTGCAAGCTAACATATGATACTTTTATAGGAGAGATTTGTAATGGTTGCCGTAAAAATGCGAATAAAAAAGTTGTACACGTAGGAATACAATTTAGTTCTGGTGACAGTTTTCAAGAACATGGTTCAACTCAAACAAGTTTACCACCTATAAGTTTATCTTTAGAGAAATGCGCTAATGAAAATTCAGATATTGATGATAAAATTTGTCCATTATGTGGATCTTTCTATGGAAAGTCTATCGCATTTGCAGAATTTCATGAACATGTTTTGAGTCATTTTACAAAAGACGTATCTGTCGATGGGTTTGAACTTATTCATTAATCCTATGTACAGAAAAGTGAGGAAAAGTAATCCTATCAAATTTGTTGTCGATTTATTAACACAGTCTGAATTACTGTTGATAAGTACAAGTTAGTAAAATATGTAAATAATTGATAACTCTCAAAGATCTATCTGCCTTATTTATAACAGTTTTCAATCAATGAATTTTATAACATGTTAATATATTATTGCATCAATCTATCCAGAAAGAATAGCCAACATACAAATATTTTAGTATAGATTGTATATTTGTATCTTGCTTTTTGCAGGATATAAAAATTATTTACAAATATACTAATTATTTTCACAATAAAAATATTTATAAATCAAATCTGGTTAAAATAGCATTTAACAAAAAAGAGTACAATAGATGTTCAAATAACTTTTATTTCAAATACTTAGACTTTTTCTTAAGCAAGTTCTGGAGGTTTTATATCCTTACTATCGGAAGGTTGAACCGTGGATGATTCGAGAAGATTTTCATGAAACCACTCAGGTCGTTTCTTTGGCATTTCTATTATTCTTTGTTTCTACAGAAAAGATTAGTGGTACAAATTAGATTTAAAAATGATGCAAACTAAGCATATCTGTTATATAAGTATAAACCACTTTTAAAATAATTATACAGTCAAATACCTTCCAGAAGTCATCTGTCTTGCCTTCTTTTTCTCCTTCATAAATAACAATAACATTTTCTTCAACGGGATCTAATCCTAATTTTTCTTGAATAGCATCTTGCATTTCTTTAGTTTCTATTTTTACTTTTTCATAGCAATGTGCTAAACAAAGACATACATTTATTGTTAAGTTTTATATACATGACATTGATAAAATTAATGAAAAATTAAAATATATTAAATTAAGTTAAATACCACATAAAAGTTTTGCCTCGTGGTAATTACCACAATTAGGACACATCAAAATATTAGTTTTTGGAACAGGCGGCTTCCACTTATATTCTGGATATCCAAATTTTCTACTCAAACGTTTTTCAATGGTACGTCTACATGTTGGAACTCCCCATAAAATGCCATTTCCAATAATGTCTTTGAGAGAAAATCGACCACTATTGTTTACAGGTGATGGAAGATTTAAACCACCATTATAATCTATTGCACATAATGCTTCTAAAAAGATAGAAAAAAGGAGTAGGTAAAAAAGATGGTTATATTTTAGGCTATCAAAGAGCAAATATTGAAATATTATTTTTGTTTAATATTATAGATTATGTAGTCAATTATATATATTTCTTTCTCCTTATATAGATTTACATATATATA